GTGAGGGACCCTGATCGATTCCAGATCGCTGAACCTTGCGAGTCTGAGGTCTCTGCTCTCCATCGGCGCGTTGACTTGGCTCCTTTACACCGTGCGGAACCGTCTCACTGGTAGGACTTTCACTATCGCCTACATGTGCTAAAAGACTGAGATTCTTGGGATTGGATGTCTTGCCACCAGAGGACCGCTGACCAGGCGCCGATCTTACGGTATCGGATATCTTGCCAAAGACTGGGTTGGTTAGTATTCTTGCTTCGCGATCAACAAAGGCGACGAAGTCACTGAACTGTACTGGCCTTAACTGTCTGTCCATGATGTCATCAGCTAAGCGACGCCATCTTTCTCTCATGCTGTAAGGAATCTTGAGCACCAACTTTTGAATGTTTCCTGGCTGATCAAACTTAGAAATGTACTGGCTACCTGCCAATGCGTTCTTGCAACTTGCGAGAAAGACTGAAAAACGATTCAAAGCCACACCATCTTCTGCCTTTATGCTCGGCCAGTCGAGGGCCTTCATCTCGTAAGCGGATGCTATGCGATAATCGTCACCATACTTCCTTCTCAAAAGCCTACGAGCCTCATCGTAACCTTCTTCCGCTGGTAAATGATGACAGGATCTTACAAGTTCCTTAACGTCCCCTGCGGTGAACTGCTCGAGGTAATAGAGCCTATCAGTACTGCTAAATGTTCTGGATTCAACCAAATTTTCAAAGGCGCGAACGAAGGTGCGGTACTCAATAGGGTTTCCGTCAAACACAGGAACACGGGGCTGCGGAAGTTTGTTCCTATTCTGATTATGCGCTAGCAATTCCATTATTCTATTCTGCTGAAACTGAAGAGCAGTCTGTTGCCGCTGCAAACCAATCGTTTCCTTTCTCAGATCCTCGCCGACTGTACCCGCTTGATAATCAAAGTGGCGGTGAGGAACAGAATCCATGGACACGCCCTGGCCTGGGTGGTGCACCTCGCCTGGAAAAGACCTTTTCGCGCGGGGGCTGGTACGAGGGGGATCCTGATCCTGGAGCTCTGTCTCCAATTTTAAAGGCTTCACCTCCGGTAGAGAAGGGGAGGTCATTGCTGCGTAGACCCTCTCCTTAGCTGTTGTCTTGACTATTTCGGCTTCGAGGTTAAGGCGTAATTCTTCCTGCTGTAAACGAAACTTTTTCTCTTCGAGTGTTTGGCGCTTTTCGAGCATAGAAATTTCAGCTTTTAACTCGGCAATTCTTGCGGCTTCTTTGGCTCTCGCGGCTGCAACTGATGAAGCACGGCCACCACGTGAACTTGCTCGACTAGAATGTTTTGAAACCTTGGAAGCAACTGAAGGAATTGGCGTACCAGCACAACTAATTGAATCCTCGGGATTCACCGCCGAATCTACTTGAAGCGATTCTGCTAATAGCTTGTGTTCAATATTAATTATCCAATCGACGATCTCCTGACGGAACACATGAACCTTTCTCTCTTTGTCTTCAAGATAGCGTTGACCCTCAATAAGGGCGTTCTCATCCACAATTTCTCCCACGTAGTCGCGATGGGCCTCTTTGAATCTTTCAAAAGCGTTGTCCAAGTAAGGAAGCTTCTCTTTAACCTCCTGAAGATTATGATCATCAGTAAGCAAGCCAGAAATTTCATTGGAAATGGCGGTTACGGTAGATAGGTGACCAGACCTTGAATTTTTCTTTAAACGAAGTGTTTCCAGGTAAGACGCTTCAAAATCCAGCGAACGGTTTGGTTGTCGCACGCGTGTTCCAACTCGCCGGGCGACGGGATCTGTAAGCTGCTTGCGGCTAAAGCTCATGACGAAACGACATGTCACCAACAATTTTCAACGATGAAACTGCAATAAGCGTGTAAGTCTCTTGGCCTTTAATAACAACACCACAAACCAAATTCGAATTAAGATTTATTGTAGCCGACGTGCTTGGTACTAAGAGTGTGCATACAAACAGCGTGGGTTGAAACTAAAACGGTAAAAGAGCAAAAAAGTTACAAGTTGCGACTAAGGTAAATTAGAGTAAGGAAATAACAAAGCTGCAAAACGAGGACTGTGAAGTACACTTACATTGTTTCGGCCAGAGAAAACTGCTGTAAAGCGGACTGCGAATAACGCGAAGAGACTTGCAAGAAACTAAACAGAACTGCGCTAAGCGCGGACCAAAATGAGCTGCACAAACTGTACTGCAAAACTACGATATGAAAAATACGCTAGAACATGCGGAAAATAAAACTATAGAAACTTAGAAAGGCGCTAATGAAGATGAAACAGCAAAGAAAGGCTAACGAGGGCGCGAAAACTGACAGAAAGGAATAAACACCTAAATTAACGCCAAAAAAAAGACTAAACAAAAGGACGAAAAGAAGTATAAACTAATTTGCGTACGCAAAGGAAAAACAAATTACGCAAGAACGAATAATAGAAAAAATGTTACACCTGGATCTTACAACGGCAGTCCAGTTCATTTTGTTTAATATTGCCAATTACTCGCCCTCAATCGCATGGAACTTAAAGTAAGCAAAGAAATTACATGTGAGTGACAAAATCAGAGATCAAAACAAGCAAATATGTCTCCTGAGCATTATTTTTGAAGTTTCAACCAGCAGGGATCAACTTTGAAAAACTGTTAGCCTAAACAGTTTTCAAAAACCCTAATTTCAATCCGTTTCGATCTTCTTCAGTTTTGCCCACCTGTGGCATCTGTTGATTCTGTTATGTTAATTTAACCATCCTTGAAAGTTTTAAGTGGTTATTTTCATGTTTCTCTTAATTTAATGCGCATTTTGTAATTTCCTAATTTGGCTGAATTTCGTGACACAGCTCCTTTAAATATGAATAAACCACAAAACAAGAATGTTTTCACAACTTTTCACAGCCATAACATGTATCTGGTAACTCCAATTTTGGGGCTTTTTACAGACTGAAATGACAGATTCACATAAGAGGACAACACTTGTTACCGCCCTTAGTGTTTTAGCTTCAATAAGTGAAAACCCTACCCTTCAATATAACCGAATCCTAGAACATATACTCCTTTCTGGGGGAGCCATCCCATATAAGCTCTTACTGCAAGTACCCGCCCCCTCCCCCCTCCCTTGGTGGCATTTATAACCTTTCAAACTGAATAACATTCAATTCAATGCTTTTTAATTTGTGGTAATATTACAATCTTTAGATTTTGTAAGATTTTAATGAGGATATTTTTAGTCTTAGATTTTGTAAGATTTTAATAAGGATATTTTTAGTCTTAGTTGAGACTAATAATTGCAGTGTATTGAACATATCATCTTCTGTTTTGTGAACAGAATTTTTTTAAATTTGTGCTTGCAGCAATTCTACATTAGTGATGTGAAAATTTTGTGTTTTGCATCATCCATATTGTTTTCAAAACAATTTTCTTGAGAGACGTTATTTCATCCATCTTTTGAGTTTTGTGAGTGTTTTTTTTTTTCAATTCTGGTTGGATATATGCTTCTTCCATTGTGTCCGTATCGGTAAAAATTGATCCAAATATAGAAAAACACGTTACCCAGGCAGCACCAATGTTATGACATTAATTATTTAGTGTTTTGTTTTGATCAGTAAAACTATCTTATATTTTAAATGCGCTCATAGATCGAGCTTTTACTTTCACGATAAAAAGTACCCTAAAATGTACCTAAAAATAACCTAGTCCATGAAAACACTGTGACATATGCCGAGTATGGGAGTTGCTCACTGCAGGTTATGAACCCCTGCCACTGTTCATTTGACTTCTAATACCGTAAAACCCTGAAAATAAGCCCCTCCATGTATAAGCACCTCCAAATATAAGCCTCCCAAACTCGTAACGCAGAAAACCCTCCGTTAAATCGCCCCTCCGAATATAAGCCCCCCTGGGGGCTTGTACTTGGAAATTGCCCTCAAGTATAAAGCAAAACAAAGTAAAAACGGTAAATATCCTTCCAACTACAAGGCTAGCCCAATCGATTTTGAAACGCAAATTTCCCTCCATAGAAAAGCCCCTCTAAATATAGGCCCCTCCAAAAATAAGCCCCTCAAAAAGGGCCTTTGAAAAATATAAGCCCCGGGGCTTATTTTTGGAATTTTAAGGTAAAACCATTCCAAAATCATCCAAACAAAAGCTACACTGATTTTAATTTTAATAAAAAATGTTGTCATAATGGTATTTAATTATTCGCTTTACTGATTTGTAAAGGGAAATTGTCATAAATCTTGGTTATTTCTTCATTACACAGAGCTATATAAGTGATGGTATCTGTATGGGTAAAAATAACCGTGTTCCATTCTGAGTGCCAAGCATACAAAAATCTGTGGCTTACATCCCCTAACAAGGTAACCCAGAGCCAGCCTTTATTCGCAAGAAAACCCCTCCCCGCCGGGAAGCCTGACTTCTTTTGTTACTCACTATGAAGAATTAAGATCCTCTGTTTGTTTCGCTTTAGCAATTGGCCATCCTTCTACTCTTGGTTCTATAAAATAGTTAGTTACTCTCACAAGATAACGCAGGACTTTTTTGTGGAGCATCTTTCCTTTCAGTTCCTTGGAAATCAAGCAAATGCCAGAAAGCTTGCGCCGGGAGACACCTGTCGATGTTTAGCCTTGTTTATCATCTTGTCGCGTGAAAAATCCCATTGATTGGCATTCCATTTTCTGTAGTTGCTTTAGCTGGTTCTGTGCCCTTCGTAGCAAGTACTCGATTCGAAGTCCGTCCGTCTTGGGTATCACAGAGTTTTTTCGAAACTCGTATCTGATATGATCTTTGAATCCAGGTTTGTCCTCGCTGGCACGTAGAAACGCTCGATACAACGAAAGGACTTGCTTCTGAAGGCGGCTACGTACCATTTCAAATGAGGACAAATCCACAGTTTAGAAAGACAAGGAAGATCAAAGATTATATAATCCCACCTCGCTTAACTCTTTCGTCCGCCATCTTTGTTTATGAAACAGCGCTTGCGTGAAGCGCGAAACCGCTGTTGAGTTAAAACTAAATGCTCATTTCACCATGAGACCAGATGAACACAAGAAGAAGCACAGAGCTGAATACAAGAAAAAACACGGCATTTGCAACAAGAAAACAGCTTCTAAAGAAAGAAATGAGACAAATAAAGAAGGCACTAATGCTGAAACTCAGACAAGAGCGGTTGTAGTGGAAAATGAAGAGGTAAACATGTAAATCAGTATAAATGCTTGTTGATCTGCAGGATCTAGGAGATCTACAAGATCTATAGGATCTGCAAGGTTTATACCATCTATAGGATCTACAAGATCTATACCTATCTATATCTCTTCGAAGTTTATCTAGGGACGCACACCATTTTTCTTTGTTCTAAGATTTTTTAAGTAGAATTTACAAAAAATAACTTTTAAATAAAGTTTGTATCTTCAAATTATCTGAAATTATGGCATGGTTTTAGGAAGACCAGGCACAATTCTCACGGAGAAAGGTCGCCAGTAATTGGGAACGATATGAAGAACTTGAACTTGGTGAGTTTAATAATCAGATTCAGATTGGTGGAATTAGCTACAAGTGGATCTCAGGTCCCAGTTGTTCAAAAGGTAGATAATGTTTCCAGTGGATAAATCTGTATTCAGTGGATGATGTGTCTGGTTTTCTTAATACTTATTCACTGGATAGTGATTTATCCCGTGGATAGGGCTCTCCGACATTTGAACAACTTGGGCCAGGTGTCTTTTTTTTCTTCAGATTCTTGTAATGTGACATTGTTGGCTCAGGGCTACTATGAAGCCACAGATGGGAAGCGAAGGACTTTTGAGAAAGTAACACAGATATACTGAATGACTGAAGTTCTCACATGTGATGCATGTCAAACCAGAAGCATACAACCCCATTCAGGGTTATATGCTTCTGGTCAAACCCAATGGACACTAAGGGGGCCATAGAAAGTGTCAGTATTAAGATGGTGTCCGTATTATGCGAGTTGAATGAAGAGAAAATGTAAGGGCTTTCTTCCCCAGGGACAAAGCAAACTGTCCGTGATAATGAGGTGTCCTTATTAAGCAGGTGTTCGTAAAGTGGAGTTCGACTGTAACAGGGTGTCCGTATGAAGCGTATTGAATTTAGAGAAAATTTAAGGGCTTTCTTTCCCCAGGGACAAAGCAAAACGTCTGTAATAATGAGGTGTCTGTAGTAAGCTGGTGTCTGTAAAGCGGCGTTTGACTTTACTACCAAAATCACTTGATTGTAAGGACCCAGAAAAAAATTGTAGCTCACATGACCATTAGCGCCCCATTAGGTCTTGTGACTTGGTCAGTATGGTTGACCAGGTTACTGACCTGACCTAGAGGTTGGTGACCTGACCTAGGTTGGCAAATTATTAACCTGATATGGTGTAAAGGCCTCCTTACACTGTTTGGCTTTCATAGAACTAATCTCCACATTTCACCCTTTATAGAAAGCAGTGATGAAGAAGACAATGTTGAAAACATCCAAAAAAGAGGAGAAGATTTCAGTGTTCTTCTTGAAAAATCAGGTAAAGATGCTGTTGTTTTATATAATTTATAGTATGTGTAGAATATCATCATCATTTTGTAGGTGAAACAAAGTAAAGTCAGTAGGTTTGTATGATAGACAGTAATGTGTATCATTGCCTGGCCTACAAATTTGATTTTCATCTAATGAGCTAGGTGCAAGTTGAAAGTTCTCAATGATTTGAGGGTTATGAGGTTCACAATGCAGATTTAAGCAAAAACATTATGTGCTGAACCTTCGTATTAAACACAACCAAAAATTCCTTTGTTGCACATAACCATCTACTTCTTGCTGTGGAGAAACAAGAGAAAATGCAGGCGTTAATTTAACCTTGTATCTGTTGTTATTCAATATTACTGATTCCTTGATTTACAATTTTTTTTTTCATTTGTTTTGATCATGGTAATGTATTATAATGAGGTCTGAAACAAAGAAAAATGAAATTTAAACTTAGCCCTGGACCTGGCCCTAATTATTCTTGAATAATAAGGCTAGGATACATAGAAAATTTAGAATTAACTAAGGTTAGAAAATTAACCAGGTTGTATTTAATTTTGTCCTAAAAGACATGTACCAAGCCTTTTGTTAATACTAGACCTTCAACTGACACTGTGACATTGTTCTTTAGAAAACCCAGCGTCACAATTTCGCTTCCAATCAGAAAGAGAATGGGATCAAGAAAGTGATGCAAGCACAATAGAAGTAAGTTAGAGAATGAAAAATCTGCTTCTTTCGAAAAAATTCTGTCCGTAATGAAACCAAGCTAGGTATAACAAATACACCTTCCCAATTGGGCTGGAGTCAGAGTCAGATCTACAACCTGGCCAGGAACTCTATGTCCTGAGTTGAAGGGTGGAATAATGTTGTAGGGGACTTAGTGTCCTCTTGACCTTAAGTCTTTTCAAGACCTTAAGACCACGTATAATGATAATAATATTGTAAGTAGCCAAGTTGCTTATTACACTAAATATTCAAATATTGATATAAATAATAGACAGTTTACAAGCCTAAATTACAAACCAGGCCATTTTTTAATTAGCTGTATGTTACTGTAACAGCCCTCAATATTTTACTTTGATACCATGTATCATGAATTGGTGTTTACACATGTACTGCTGCATTTCTACAGCTTTAGGTTTTTTCGTTTTGGTTATTAACAATAAGAGGTATTAAACTTTCTTTCCAGGTCACTAACTCAACCCTAGAAGTTGATTTTGGATCATTAGCAGTGGCCTTAAACTCTATTCCTCTGCACAGACGTCTTGATATCTCTCCTGATCATGTGCATGTGAGTATATGTCCCCCTTAATCTTCTGTGGTTGTTGTTTTAGCACTGCAAGTTGAGGGGTTGTTGTTTTAGCAGTGCAAGTTGATTGTATTTATAAGCAACTTCTGTCAGTTACATTAATTACATAGCTGACACTTGACCAGCCTCCTGGAGACTTGAGAGAAATGAATCTTCATCAAAGATATGTTGATCTTAAACTTATTTTAAAGCTTATCATAATCTTTCAAAAGCATCACAGCATCTTGGGTGAAATCTTCTGACCAATTTAGTGATATTAAACTGAAATGTTTGCTTTTTTTCTCAGCCTGACCTTGTTAAAGTGTTTGAGTCAAATGCCGAGTTGTGCAAAAAGGATCAGTATATTCCCTCAGATACAAGAAATACTAAGACAACAGCAACAGCAGAACCAACATCCGTTCCTAGTGATACATGCCTTCATGGAACCATACTGAACAGCACAGAAGATAATCAGCAGAATTTTGAAACGAAAACTTTTGAGAACTCAAGTGGTATTCGAAAACATGTCACAATAAACTCATCTGGTAAAGACATGCTAAGATCTGTAACACAATTATCAGGCACAAGTGATCCTTCTAAGCTTCAGAATGCAGAGGAATTACAAACTTCTTTGAAAGATGTTTTAAGAACTGCAAATGCTACTACTACAAATATTACGACTGGAAAAATGTTGGAGATGCCAGCTGAAAATGAGGAAGATGATGAACTTGAATCCCTGCTGTCTCTTGGGACACCAGGCATGAACAAAAACAGTGATTCAACTGCAGTACTGCAAAACAAGAAGGTGAGTTGAATGGAGGGAAATATCAAGGGAAATTGAACACATTGTTTGTGTTGTAAAATAATGTAAAGATAGTTAAATAGGAAAATAAAATTGTACTACAGATCTCTGGTAAATGTTTTGTTTGGTACCATGCATCCCCTGTAGAAATATTTTACCACTCTCTAGTAATAGTTTTCCAGGTTTGCTTCAAACAGTGGCAATTTTTCAGACCCCCTTTCTGCTAGGAATCTCTCATAGAAAAATTATTTTTGTAATACAATCAACTCTGAGTCAATATAATTTTTTCCAGAAAATTGTTCTTGTTTTTTGAAAACTCTTCCATCTCTCTGGTAATTTCACTTAACTTTGAAATAAGACTTTGCTTATAAAAGAAGAAAGATGAGGTCAAAAAGGTGATGCGCTTATGCTTCAGAGATTTGGTGCTCTTGGATGTGTACTTTGCCTCCCAAGTGCATCAATCTGCACCTCTGCCCCCTCCCTTCTGCTCCCCTCCTCAACCCATCTCTGGTAATTCCTCTTAAAGGTAATAATGTGCTTAAGTGGCGGTGACCTTAAGAAGGTCAAAAAGGTGCTATACTGATGCCTCAAATATTGGTTCTCTTCGATATGTACTTTGCTTCCAAGTCCGTAGTACTTTACCCCTTCCCCCTCCCATCCCATCCTCTCTGCACCCCACCCCATCTCCTTTGCTTGCTGCCATCCCAAGGATAAAGCATAGCTTAAGACAATCGTATTATTTTACTGATTAACTGCAAATGGTGAACTGCAACTTCAGATCTAAGATTCACAAAACGTTTTACCCTAGTGTGAACAATTCAATCCCCTTTGGGAAAAAGACTCAAGAGGATCTAATTCTATAATAATATACCTTCAACTTGTAAATCCAAGGGTTCATATTGAAAACAGGCTTTTATATAATTTTATAGGAAATCCCTTCTCAGAAAGCACTTCCTTCAGGAGTTATAAACAGTGGTAATCAACCTGCAAACAACACTGACGATGACCTTGAGGACTGGCTGGATAGTGTACTGGGCTGAATTTATTGGAGGACGGCATACAAAAATAACTTTTGCATATCCGAGACAAATACATGATGGTCTCTGTAATATAGATTTTCAACATAATATGCTTGAAAAAGCCAAATTTGAAAAATAAAAGTTGCAAAACTATGTACGTGTAGCCTTTTGTTGTACCAAATATTAGGAAATTACTTCCACTGCCAATGAAATGACAATTGTGTCAGGGTTTGCACAGACTGGAAAAGTCCTTGAATTTTAGGGGAAGTCCTTGAAAAGTCCTTGAATTCCATTTTTCCTTGAAAAGTCCTTAAATTTCTGTGCAAGTCCTTGAATTTTCTTCAACTTTGAATGTAGTGGCCTGGAAAGAATTATTTGCTGCTTTTTGGTTGTCCAAGACAGAATATAAATCATAGCTCAGAGAATGAAAAGCCCGCGAAAAATGGTTGCAATTTTTTGTATGAACCCTGTGTGTTCTCTCAGTATTAAATATATCATAAAAAAAAATTGTTAATTCCTTGTTTACCCATGAAGCACCTAGGAGTTCACATGAACTCGTTTAAACGTGTCCATGGGTTCCAGATCGAATTGGAATTTGGAAGTGCTGGTTTTTGAGGAGAGGGGAAAACCGGAGTACATGGAGAAAAACCTGTCAGAGCAAGGGAGAGAACCAACAACAAACTCAACCCACATACATATATGGCATCAACGCCGGGAGTCAAACCTGGGCCACCTTGGTGCTTTGGGAGGTGAGCACTCTCACCACTGCGCCATCCCTTGCTCCCACAAATCTTTAACACCAACTGTAGTTGTGCTATGTTGCCAATTTGTACGTTTGCAAAATTCCTGAGAAAACAGCCAACATTTGATGACGCCACCTCCGGTTTACCGGCAAAATGATGTCCGAGGAACGAGTGCAGAAATTCCATACTAATGATACATCTCTACTTAGATCTAGGTAGTGCTTCTGATTGGTTGAAAATTTGCTTCAAGCAGTCAGACCCACTAGTGTCTCAGATCTGAGTAGTAACATGTCATAAGTATGGAATTTCTGTGCTTGTTCCACAGATGTCATTGCCAAATGTTGGTTGTTTTCAGGCGTTTAGGAAGTGCAGAGGGCTCGAAATCAGCTATTTCAGAAGGGAAACAGCTGTTTATATCAAAATCAGGTGTTTAGGAAGTGCAGATGGCTCGAAATCAGCTATTAATTTTGGAAGGAAACCAGCTATTTCTATCAAAGTCAGGTGTTAAGGAGGTGCAGAGGGCTTGAAATCAGCTATTTAGATGGAAAACAGCTGTTTATATCAAGGTCAGGTGTTTAGTAAGTGCAGAGGGCTCGAAATCAGCTACTTCAGATGGAAAACAGCTGTTTATATCAAAATCAGGTGTTTAGGAAGTGCAGACGGTTCGAAATCAGCTATTAATTTTAGAAGGAAACGAGCTATTTCTATCAAAGTCAGGTGTTTAGTAAGTGCAAAGGGCTCAAAATCAGCTATTTCAGATGGAAAACAGTTGTTTATTTCAAAATCAGGGGCTTAGGAAGTGCAGAGGGTTAGAAATCAGCTATTTAGATGAAAAACAGTTGTTTATATCATGTCTTACATGTGAAATACTCACACTGACCACAACAATAGGCAAACATTAAACTCTTTTGCCCCCTCTACAGTTGGTAACATTTATGACACAAGCCCACGGCTCTAAAATGTTGGAGAGTGATGACTCAAGATTGCAAAATTCATGCCGTTGTTGTATGAGTTTTTGGTGAACATTCTCAGTTTCAAAGTACCAGGAACTAAATAACCCCTAGTTTTTATTTCACACCCCAGTCCAAACCAGCACTTTAAATTAATTTATAATAAATTATACCATTATTTGGCATTAAGTTTCGGAAGTTGCAGTGAGTAGTTACTGAGTCTTTGACATTTTATCTTAGTGACGTCGAAGTTTGAGCCCCATGGTGCTTAACTTCAATGCCACTGACATAACATCAATTTTCACTGCCTTTTTATTGTCAACTACATTATGAAAATACTTTTAGCATCAGTCAATAGGTGCAGCACCAGAAGAACAACTGATGTGCTCACTTTTGCAGGAACGGTGAAACCTTGACATACCAAAGTGCCAAGAGACTGGCAAAAAAAGTTTGTTGTAAGAAGGCTTTGTAATATTGAGGATCTTTGTCATATTATTATATTTTTTACTATAACTGAGGCAAAGAAATATGAGGTTTTATTGCATGCGTCTGGGATGACTTCTGTTAATAGCAGAATGTGTTCCCATTTTAAGTCAGAATAGAATTCCAAGCACTAAGCACCAGTGGCTATGTTTCAGGTGGCTCAGTGCCAGAGAGAACCAGACTTGAGTCTACCATGGATGGCACAAATTACCGGTATGGTATAATATTTCAAAGCAAGCCTTTTCCCAACTGAGAAGTTTGGAAGCATTTCTAATTACATTTGGTTGAAAGGTTCTAAATTATTATCTATCATTAACACGATCCTCAATGAGTCTGTATGTGGAAGTCTGGAAAGATCCCCTAGTAACTTTTTTGCCCAAGTTCATGACTGTCTGCAAAAGGTTTGTTTCCCACAGATAATTAATTAGACTTTGGTATTATCTGAAATTGGTTGTATCTAAATCAAGGCAAACCACACCTTTTTTTTCTGTGGTTTGTTTAGTCGCTTCCATTGATTGAAACTTTTTGTTGGTGTTTGAAGAAATATTTTTTTACTAAGTAATTCGTTATTATTTATACTTTGATCGTATCACATGTGTTCTTTTTGCACTCTGATAATTTTCCTGTGAATAGTAAGTGAATTCACATCAGGAAATATACCTTTGTAAAATCATACAAACAAGCATCCTTTGAGGTCACAGCAGGATCTCCAAGATAATCTTCAAAATGTTGACAAATAATGTCCAAATAAGGGACTCCTGCGACTCCTCATTTTCATAAGATGGCCCTTCACTGTCTTCTGTTGAGTAATCCATTAAAACTTTCATTGTGTACTTTGATAGAGGCGCATACACATGACCGTAGACTGATATTGCAATGGGTCTCTTGTAATAACTTGGAATCGTCACAATATCATCACCGCAAGTTGCCGACTTGAGGTCATAATTGTCATAGTCTGGTTTAGGATTGTTTTGGGACACGTAGATATCTGCATCTCCTTCCAGGCTTTCAAGAATCAATGTTATGTCACCTTCTTTCTTTAGTGTAAAATATGTGAAATTTCCTGCTCCAATTTCTCCATCAAAAGTTTGAATTATATATTCACAGGATACAAGTCCTGTGAGAAGGAAAATAACCAGATGAAACCATGATGATAACTCCATCACAGCTTGATCATAACAAAAAGTACTACCGGCAATATACCATGAACCTGCAAGAAAATAAAATTTGTGTAAAATTGACTCTGGTACTGCGAGAGACCACCAAGTTTTGGAACAAAGGCAAATGCTAGTGGTCACTGGTAAGGGTTGAAAAAAATAAAGAACAGTGAAACATGCATTCACAATGAGGTGTTGTTGGAATTGGACTCAAGTTTGCCCCCAAAATTGAATTGATAAAATTCATCCATTATGAAGATGGTTTTTTGGAAATTACATGGCTTCCTACCTGAATTATCTGTCAATTTTAAGATTTTCTGTTTCACGGAGAGATTTGAAGGCTAAATCATGAGACTGTGAGGCGTGAGTTGGCTGCCCAAACCTTGAGTCTCACGGTCAAACTGTGAGAGATGGAAGATCAGACTACAAGCTTGTGCTTTTCCAGACTTTACTGACATCTTTTTGATACGTGACGTTACATATGACATAGCCATATCATTTTGTCTCTTCCACAAATGCAAAGGATGGGATTAACATGTTATTACTAGGTTTAAAGATCCACTCCTAACACCCACCCCAAGTGGACATGAATGAAACAAGCAGCCCTTAGACTGAAACACTTGACTTATTTGTATAGGATGCTGTGAATGTCTGTTCTTGAAAACCTTTGAAATTAATTACTTCACTCTGGCATTGCCAAAAAGAAACTCAAGCAAAGTACCGACTAAATTCACCAAAGGTAGGCTATGTTAGAAGCCTACATTTTCATCAGCCATAAGTTACAATAATGCAGCTATCAATGTTATACCCAAGGCGGGGGAAGGGGGCACCAGATGAGGTGGGGACTTTGATCATGCATGCCTGCCCCATGTGGGGAATTTCAGCAAAATTTGAACATAAATGTTGGCGCCAGGATCTGGAAGTTTGAGCAGCGCTAAAAGTTGTTGACTCCTGGGTCGGGAAGTTTGAACGATGCTTAAAATTGCTGGTCCCTAAGTAGGGAAGTTTGAAAGATGTTTGACGACAAAAGCCACCTGGACTTTTGAATCCAGGGAGCTTGGATACAAGTGTTCTGCCATCTTGAAAATACCCAGAATTCCCAGAATTTAGGATGTGCTTTCCGGTCGACACTCAATAACATCCATCAAAAGGACATTGGACATTTAATCAAGTTCACACAACGTAGTATTCTTTACTACTTTTTTATTTCTTTGCCTCCACAGATCCACACTAAACCTTGAGGAAATTTTAAAGTTTCTTAACATTTCTGCTCAACAACTGTTCATGAAAGTTATAGTCTTTTCAATTTTTCAAGGGAAAAAAAATCATGAGTGTGAGTAAAAATCAAACCTGGAGCATAGTGTCTGCAGTCCATTACCTACACCACTATTACACTGAGGACTACCTTGAGAGGATTGTTTTATGTAGAAGCTAACCATTTCAAGTCAGTGCTTAACCCTAATCAGTATTGCCCAACCCAAATCACTATAGTCAGTGCTCGAAACTGAAGTGACAAGGAATACTACGTTGTGTATACTTCATAAGGTGTCCAGGGGCCTTTTGATGGATGTTACTGAGTAACAACCGTGCCTTCCAGGTGCAAGAAAATGGAGGAACAGATGGTCAGATTATTAATCTTCTTAAACATTTGTTCCTTACACAACCATCTGTCCTTTTTGTTGATGTAATTGTAAACAAATACTTTCACATCAATCTACAGCAAGATGAACAATTTTTATAACTTGAAGATAAGAACCAAGATCAACTTTCACATTGTTGCAATTGAAATGAAATTTTAGATTCTTTGAAAAACTGCAACACCTGTACATGGCTCTAGAATAGTCAGAGTAGAAGTAGTATTTTCAGGTTTGTGAATTCATCACCTGAGTTAAAGTTATTAAAGAAAACAAATCAAATTGAGGCCTTTATCAGTAAATTAAATTTATTTAAAGAGAGCAGAGCTCGCCACGACCATGGGCCAAAGCAGTGCAATCTATGAAAAAGACTTGTCAAATGCAAGCACATATTCTTTACCTCAGTTGGATTGAAATTCCCGCCCTGGTTAGGCTACAAAAACAGCCGTTTCTCCTCGCTCCTCGCTGTTGCGGACGTTTCACGAGGAGGAACATCTGCCACTCAGCAACAGAAATTCCATTCTGATGACACAAAATCTGTCTGGAATCCGGTTATAAGCGCTGGACGATGGAGTAGTAGCATTGTTTTAGCTATTGTTTCCGAATGACAGACAAAAGGCAAAAGACTACAAAGGTAATGTAAACATGATGAATCTATAACAAAACAGTCAGCATTTGTGGAATATTTTCTTCTCTAGAAGAAGCATTTAAGTTTTGCTGGAGTCCGTTCACAGATGAACACAACACTTTATCAAAAACGACCAGGAGAAACGTAAAATTGCACAAAGTTGCATTTAAAACCCCATGACTATGGGATTTATTATGGAAATATTGATTCACATCATCGGTATAGAGCTTCTGTTGCTGAGTCTCAGATGTTCTTCCTCATGAAACGTCCCTTGCATCGAGGAGTGAGGAGAAACGGCTGTTTTTGCAGGCTACGCTCTGGTAGGTAACTTTGAACTCAAAACCTCATCCCAAGGTGGGGGACTTTGAATTGAAATCTTATCCCAAGGATTGGGAAGTTTGATCCACATCTGCATTTTTGATCAAAGTCCCCACCCTATCCTGTGGTCCCCCCTCCCCTCCCCCCTCCCCCAGGCACAAAATTACCAGCGGGATAACAAAGAATAAAACAGTTGCACTATATTTACAAAAATAACCGTTAACTGGTAGACCTGTATTTCGTCTTAACAGGCAAAGTAAACGGTAAATGGGGTGAAATCTCTAATAAAATAATAAATTACATATTCATGGGTTTGCAGAACAGAGAACAACTTTGTCTAACCAACAATGCAAAGTGACGGACTCATGGATGACATTCGAAAGTGACGCTTTGCACGACCACCGTTCTGCAAGCTCAGATGGCGAACTATTATAACTCACCTTCCTCCAAAAGATAGAACTAGAAGCCTCTAGAAGACTAATTACAAACGTTTGCTTTTCGTTTGTCTATCAAAGCAACAAATCAATGCTTTAAATATGGAAACAATCGAAGGATTTCCAGACATATGTTTGTACCGTACAGGCGCACTCTCACTTCGTTCCCAGACTCCTTACATTTGAAAGGGGTCGAAAGGGGAATCGAACCCATGACCCAGCGGCTCCGGATCTATCCGGATCAACTTTCAAACCGCGGATCGGTTTTAATCTCTGGTTTTCATGGAACTATTAAGAAAAGCCAGAAATCTGAGGGTTGAAAACTGACACCTTGTATATTTTTAAAATTTCCGAAATTTAGTCGCACACTGTGCCAGCGGATTTGATACGGGGGTCGGAGCCCGGCAGGGGTCAGGGGCCCGTTTCTCGAAAGTCCCGGTAACTTTTCGGGCCCGAAATCAGATATTCAAATCGAAATATAAAGAATAAGAGCCCGGGTCCTGGATAGCAAAGTACTCCATTTTGTTTCATTAAGCGATAGTTTATATCATGTTAGATGCAAAACTATTGAAACCTCTATCTTGCATGTAAAAAACAACAGCCTTACGTGCCTGTTAATTATCGGAACTTTCGAGAAACGGGCCTCTGGACCCGTAAAAGTATATCCGTTAGACCGGTAGTTTTTTTTGGAATATCTCATAATAAAAAACAACAACTACAACAACAGCATGCAATGATATGACCAAGAATAGCCGGCACCACAGAAGGGGCGCCTGATTACTAGCCAGGGTTGATAACGTCTGCCACGCAGGTTAAGCCCAGAAGTAACTTTTGGTAACAAAAACGAGTTTTGTTTCGGCCAATGTAAGGGAATCCAAGAAAATCTTGGATTCTGGATTTCACGTCGTGGATTCCGGATTCTTTGTCTGTGATACTTGGATTCCTGATCCCAATCCTTAGTTGGATTCCGGCGGATTCCTTAAGGTGCGTTTCGGATTCCAAAGCCCAAGATTCCGGATTCCACGGTATAAATTTGCTACCCGGACTCTACAATAAAAAATTTCCCTGATTCCCAAATCCATGGGCTCCTGACTTTAGTAATTTGATGGGAAACTAATTGAGACTAAGGGTGTGAACGGCGCTGTTTAGTGTTTACTCCATTTTGGGAAGTCTGACCCACACGCCAGCTACTCTCTGATCGTGTGGTAGTCAGTTGTTATTATTGAAATCTGAGCATCGAATTTTGTACTCAATCAGAAATACAGATCTCGGGGAACGTACCACCCTATCCGGCCACTTTCGATATATTTAAATTCATACTTGGCTGCGAGGAGTTGAGAGAATAAAACAAAAGAAATATATTATTCATTATTGAGCATCAATATGATTTCTTTTGTTTTATTCCCCCGAGCCTCGCAGCCAAGTATGAATTTTAATATATCGGAATTGGTCTCTTAGGGTGAAACAAAGAGACGTATGATATTTCAGACTAATACTGTGAGGTTCCGTGCGAAAGGGGTACATTTTTCAGACAGGTAGGGAAATCTGTCATTCCGGTCTGTAAAAAAAAAAAACTTTATCAGGCTGTGAAATAGTCGAGAAAACGTTCTCTTTATGTGGGGTTTTAATATCTATATTATTACTAGACAGTACATTTACAGCAGTCAAAGGGGATGCAAGGTTCTACAATAGGTATGTGAATGGCCGTACAATTTGTTAACAGAAGGTATACCAAAGGGGCACCTTTTCTATTAAAAATGGTACATAAAAGGGTATAAGAAGTCGGACTTCGGGGAGGACTACCCCCGGGTCATCTAATTGCCGCGTCACATAAGCTTTTTCGACAACTTATCACAAAAACGAAGAACCCTCTTGAACCAAAAATTTGTGTAAATAAAGGTAGAATTAAAGTCAAAAAGGCTACTGCAAAGACTGATCAAACAACGTGAAAAAGGCTGAGGTATACAATATTTCGACTGGCCAATACAAGTATTTTACAGTAGTATATATTCTGTATATTCGTTTATTTTTTCCTAATAAACCTGGTGAAGACCGGTATTGACCTGAGGTTTAGGATGCGGTTTATTTTAGACGATGACTGAAATGACGCACAAAGTTGACCGCGCTTCGGCCGTTTGGCAATGATGTAATTTTCCCCGAATCGAGGCCCTTGATTTTCGTGCAAGTATACACGCGTATTAAAAAGTAAATACCGGTACCTTGAAGAATACTCGACCGTCGATAAAGTAGGATGTGAGAATACAGCTGAGAATATATTAAAGCGGGAACATCCTGTTTTGTCGTGTATTGACGCGTTACGTTTCTCAGAATATTGACGCAATTACTGAAACTTTGCGGTTAAATAGATTCGATATTGCAGATTCACTGTGTTATATGTATTTAACTGATAGATTTTCGCAGTTGTTAAGATGTGAAGTCGCGTT